TAAACCCTAAACCCTAAACCCTAAACCCTAAACCCTAAACCCTAAACCCTAAACCCTAAACCCTAAACCAGGCTCCGAAGTTACCCAGAGTCCAAGCGTAGGGCTTAGAAGTTTTTGGTTTGGTGGATCAGGTTTCCTATGCTGCCTCAGGAGCCGGCCTCCACCCTGGAATGTGGACCAGGGTCTTACCCTAAAAAAGGGTTCAGGGTTTGGGGTTTAGGGTTAGGGTTTAGGGTTTAGGGTTTAGGGTTTAGGGTTTAGGGTTTAGGGTTTAGGGTTTAGGGTTTAGAGGTTTTTATGGTTTAGGGTTTAGGGATGTCCAACTGCCCCTGGTTTTGCGGTCAGTCCCAAGCTTGTGCACGCGAGGTGATCGCTTGCCCATGAAGACGGACGTCAAAAAGCAGGCAAGCATAGAACCGACGCTTCAAACAGCGCAGGGTGGATGAGAGCGCAGCGATGCCCGCGCTGCCTGTTAGGCGTGGTTCAAAAACTTCGACTGGGACAAGTGCGCCAGCTTGAGTATGCGTCTGAACCCTAACACCCCAACACCCTAACACCCTAACACCCTAACACCCTAACACCCTAACACCCTAGCACCCTAACACCCTAGCACCGTAACACCCTAGCACCCTAACACCCTTTCAGGGTGTGGTTTTTTGGCAGCATTTGGCTTGCTCCCTGCGCCTGAGCCCTGCACCAAACGACCCCTTCAGAAGGCCTCAGCTCAGTTCGCAATTCACGAGCCTTTGGGGTGTTCAGCGTGCCCTAAGCCCTAAACCATGAACCCTAAACCCTAAACCCCTAAACCCTAAACCCCAAACCCTAAACCCTACACCCTAAACCCCAACCCTAAACCCCAAAACCCTAAACCCCAAACCCCAAACCCTAAACCCTGAACCGTGAGAGCTACGTAGCTGTGGAGCCCGAGGATGCCGCCGCCGTCGTGGAGTCAGCCTTCGACGCAGCGTCATCCTCGGCGTCGCTGGTGTTGGAGGGTTTAGGGTTTAGGGTCTAGGGTTTAGGGTTTAGGGTTTAGGGTTTAGGGTTTAGGGTTCAGGGTTCAGGGTTCAGGGTTTAGGGTTAGGAGCCCACGACCCTGACCCGAAGCGACCCACTGAGCATATCCTGAAAGTTTGCGGCAAGGTTGGGCCCAGCAATTGCACCCCAGAGAAAAAGGTTGAGAAGTTTTAGGGTCCAATGCTTTCGGGTTTGGGGGCCTGTGGGTATGCAGCTTGGAGGCCTTAGGGCCCGGAGATTTTCATAGTAAAGGGGTGCTGCTTAAGAATTCAGAGCTTTCACGCTTGAGGTGTAGCCCTAAACCCCTAAACCCCCCGAAACCCCGAAACCCTAAACCCTAAACCCTAAGCCCCTCTTGCCGAGGTGCAGTTGTCTGAAGAGAGCCTGGGGCGAGGTGGGCGATGACATTGGGGTTTGGGGTTTAGGGTTTTGGGTTTTGGGCGTTTACGGCTTTGGGATGTTTAGGGCACCTAATTTCAGGGGGCTTAGGCCTTAACGTTTCTTGATGGGTTCTGGGTTCCGATGTTTCTGGAAGGAGTGCTTGATTCTTCCAGCCCCATAAGCTCAAAATTCCCTTGGCGTAGTGTGCAACGCTAAACCCTAAACCCTAGACCCTAGACCCTAGACCCCGAACCCCAAACCCTAAACCCGAAACCCTGAACCATTGAAGTAGGTGGCTTCAGAAATTTCAGGTTGCTGGCATTGAGCAGCCCAAGGTTCGAGAAGCCAAGAGAGAAGTTGAGTTGTTGGGGTGTTGCGCAGTTTTTGGCCTTTCAGGGTTTAAGGCATCAGGTTGAGGGTTTGGGCTATCACCATGTCCTGTAGGTGTTGAGGTAGCTTTTTGGTCTCCTAGCTACCAGAACCTGTTTTTCTCAACTCTTCTTTATGGTCTATACAACCAAACCTTGTATGTTTGTTTGTGTGTGTGTGTGTGTCGGTAGTGTTTAGCAGAATCCCAAAAACGCTAAACCCTTTCTTCTGCCCTAAGTTTCCGCCAGCTGGGGTTGAGGGTCCGGGGTTTAGGGTCCGGGGTTTAGGCCCGAAACCCAAAACCCAAAACCCCAAACCCCAAACCCCAAACCCCAAACCCCAAACCCCAAACCCCAAACCCTAAACCCTAAACCCTAAACCCTAAACCCAAAACCCTAAACCGCAGCTCTGGGGTCGCCGTCGCAGACGTCCAAAAGCGACGACAGTTTCGCATCTCGGAGCCGCGAAAGCCAAAATTAGGTTAGGGTTTAGGGTTTAGGGTTTAGGGTTTAGGGTTTAGGGTTTAGGGTTTAGGGTTTAGGGTTTAGGGTTTAGGGTTTAGGGTTTAGGGTTTAGGGTTTAGGGTTTAGGGTGTAGGGTGTAGGGTGTAGGGTGTAGGGTGTAGGGTGTATGGTGTACGTAGGGTTCCCGGGAGAGCGCGACTGACAGGGAACATTTTTTTTAATGTTTAAGAATGTATCTGTTTTTTCCCTCCTTCTTTGGTGGTTTCTTAAGCAAATAGTAATGCAATGTGTAGGGTTGTAGGGTTTAGGGGCGCGCCTGGGGCCAGGCGATGTGTTCCACCTTGCCCTGTTGCTCAACTCCCTAACGCTCCTCGGCGAGGTTTGAGGTCCTATGCTCGAAGGGTTCTGTGTTTGGAGTTTGGGGATTTAGGGAAGGCTTGGGCGTTCCTCCCTCCCCCCTCCCCCGCCAAAAGCACCGAACACAACCAACGACCCTGCAAGCCTTCAGGCCCCCAAAAACCCTAAGCCCTAAACCCTAAACCCTAAGCCGAAACCCGAAACCCTAAGCCCTAAACCCTAAACCCCTAAACCCTAAACCCCAAAAGCCTTCAGGCCCCCGGACCCAAGATCCCGACACGGCCCAGAAGCCTTGAAACCTCAAACCCTCAAACCCTGGACCCTAAGCTTTGTCATAGTTGGGTACCATTTTACATGTTTAAGGGCACTTAAACCCAATAAGGAATATAAATGGTAAATTTTGAATATTATCCCAACCATGAACTGGCAAGCCCGAAGCCCCGGGCGCAGGGTTAAGGGTATACCCGGACCCTACAACCTGAACGTCACATTGGAAGCTACTGGTCCCAAAACCCCAAAGACACAACTGAAAGTAGGGTTTAGGGTTAAGGGTTCAGGCTTTAGGGTTTAGGATTTAGGATTTAGGGTGAACCCTCAAACCCCTTGCCTGGACCTCAAACTCCCAATCCCACACACCTCCAAAACTTCGCGGAAAATTGCAGCCCTTCAAATGGTCTCGCTTCTCAAAAGTCCAGGGCCTCTTTGGGTACCCTAACTACTAGGGGCCGCCCTAGGCAACGGGACCGCAATCTTGAGATCTGACCAAATAATCTTCAGTTTTGTGTGTGGGGGGTTCTTATGGGTACAGAAGCTTTCAGAACCTTTCTTTAATGTAATGGGGCCTGGGGCTTAGCGCTGAATTAGGGTTTAGGGCTTAGGGCTTGGGGTTCAGGGTTTAGTGTTTAGGGTTTGGGTTTAGGGTTTAGGGTTTAGGGTTTAGGGTTTAGGGTTTAGGGTTTAGGGTTTAGGGTTTAGGGTTTAGGGTTTAGGGTTTAGGGTTTAGGGTTTAGGGTTTAGGGCTTAGCCTTGGGCCCAGGAAGGTTCGACCGACTGCGCCCGCGACGGATGCGCTGATCCAGGCCTTGGAGGCGCATCTTACGGGGTTTAGGGTTTAGGGTTTAGGGTTTAGGGTTTAGGGTTTAGGGTTTAGGGTTTAGGGTTTAGGGTTTAGGGTTTACGGTTTGGGGTCCAGGGAGTTTGGGGTTTAGGGCTTAGGGATTCGGACGTAGAGAGTGTTGGTACAACTTCGCTGTAAGCCCTGAACGGCCCTCAACCCTACAGGCTCCCTGCAAACCCGAAAACCTGTAACCCCTAAAGGCCCTACTTAGCCTACAAGCACTAAACGCTCTGAAGCAAGGCCCCCTACTACAAACCCTACGAAGCCTATACACCTACAGGCCCTAAACCCCAAACCCTAGACCCCAAACCCTAAACCCATCTAAACCCTACACCCCAAACCCTAAACCCTAAACCCCCTAAACCCTAAACCCTAAACCCTAAACCCACCCAAACCCTAAACCCCATATCCTAAACCCCTAAGGGGTTCTTCCTGGGCTGCAAATCAGGCTCGCTGCCACCCACGCTACGTGCCCGAGGTTGCGGTGGTCAGCCACAGCCTTATACTTACTTAGCCCATCGCCCAATACCCCTTAAAACAAAGAGATATATATATATATATATACAGAAGGGCCTGTCATGGGGCCTGGGTTTTTTTTGGCATATTTTCATGGTTGCTTGCATGCTTCGGAAGGCCCTTATGAATTCATGTAACCCGTCGTTACACCAGCACGCGCCTTATGCCCTACACCCCGAGCCTTCTACAAAGCCAAACAAACCAAAAAAACCAAAAGAACCAAAAGAACCAAAAAAACCAAAAACAACAAAACAACCAAGGATTTCCACACTACTCTGAAACCTTCGGACTAGTGTGAAAATCCTTGGTTTTTTTGGTTTTTTTGGTTCTTTTGTTTTTTTTGGTTTTTTTGGTTTCCGCTGCAGGTGACGCACTCGGACACAATTCCCTGCGACTGCTCTTTTGGGTTGGGCTTGGGGTCTATGTAAACATGACTATTGTATAATATATCTTATGCTATGCTTCCGATGGGTCCAGCTGCTTATAAGCAAGCCTTCTGCTTATAAGCAGTCAGACTGCTTATAAGTCATACTTCTGCTTATAAGCACCGCCTAGCTATTCTCTTTTACGTTACAGGTCTGGCTTTTCTTGCTATGCACCTCGGCTGCACTGGGTGTTTTCTTCTTTGATTTTTTTGCCGTATGCGACTAGACTTGGACACGACGGACTGCGTAACACAAGGCCTTGAGCTAAGACTTCGAGCCACGACTTATATTCGAAGGCATGTGGCTATAGCATATGCACGTAGCTTGTCCAGTTGCGCTTAGCCTAGCCTGAATATGAAGCGCTCTGCCCACGTTGCCGGCATCGCGAACATCCAAAATGGCATCATCAGCCTCCAGCTCGAGAACCTGTCCATTCGGCCTTCTCCCGCAGCCTCCTCGCCTCCTTACGCCTCGCGTCCTTCCGCATCGCCTTCTTCCGCATCGCCTCCTTCCGCATCGTGCTCACCCCCTCTCATTGTCGATGTGTTGGCCAAGATTCAGGATGGCACCTACACCACACACGAGAGCAAGCGGGGCCTCACCGGACGGCAGATCTTCAGGTGGGACTCAAAGGCGACTGGAACCCAACGGCCGAGGCCGCTTTGCAGGTGTGGTTGAGCTCGCCCAAAAAGGGCTTCAAACAGCAGGCCGATGAGAGGACTTTGGCCATCACGGACGCGCCAGCTACCTCAACACTGGCTATCGTAGACACCCCAGACACAAAGAACTTGGCCATTCGGGAGACCCCGGACCCCAAGACTTCGACGACTGTGGACAATAACAAGGACAACACAAACGACGACGGCGCTGCCCCTGCATCCTCTTCGGGCTCTTCGTCCTCCTCCAGTTCGTCAGGGTCAGACTCATCCATGCCTAAGACCAAGAGGGGCTTGCGTGCACGTGTAAAAAAACTGGAGGCGACGAACTCCCAGTTGAAAGCCGCTCTCGAAGAGACTACAGAGGATCTCTTCTGGGCTAATGAGGCTCTGAGGGTCGGTCCAAGGAGCCAAACGCAAGCTGTCAAAGCCAAGTGTGCAGGCTGCGCGCGTGTTACAAAAGAGTAACTCAAGACTTGGTCGTGCAGCGTGTGTACATATCTTTCTGTGGCTAGGTTCAAGTTCCATCCTGTCCGTTCTCGCAGTCCTCTCACTCGCCTGCCATGTCCGTGTGGTCCGCCAAGCCGCCGGCCGACTTCACTCAGGCATGTCTGCTTGCGGCTCCATTGGATTTTCGCGCCCTCGACGCCCCGGTGATCCATGCACGAACCTCGGAGCTTGGCAGCTTTGACATGCTACCGCTCAAAGCAGCAACGCATTCCACTTCGGTAAAGTCCTTGGTTGAGCTTGTCAAACCGATGTCTGCGGGGGACTTTGATTTCGGACACCTTCATCACCTCATATCCACCGCCAAGTATGAGGACCTTCCCGGCCCTTGTCTGTGAGCTTTGGCAATGGCACGAAATTCAAGATGCAGCTTGTGGGCCAGCAGTCTTCGGATGGTCAGTGGATTTTCTTGAAGCACTTCATCTTTGAAAACAAGATCCCCGCTCGGCTTCTCAAGACAACTCTCGCAGGGGACCTCCACATCATCAACTACGGCACGAACTTCCGCAGCGGTCTCAAGGGCTTCCAGTATATGTTGGAACATGTTGGCCAATGGAGCCCAAAACCAAGACGAAAGAAACATCGGATCTGCAGAAAGGCTTCGACTTTATTCGCTCTACGGGCCCTCGGTCCAACATGCACAATCGGCAGACCGAGTGGACCGAAGTTGAGATTCACAAAGAAGACAGTCCCATCTTCGGCTGGTCGGCGGGCTTAGTCAAGGAGTCGCTTCGCGGCTACGCCAACTCCAATGTCTTCGCCGACTGTATCAGCAACTTCTTCGTCACGCTGCACGATCTCCAAGGCTGGTTCCTTCATGATGTTCTTGTTCCTCTCCTGCCCAGCATGAAGTCCAAGACCTTGGTCATGATGGGGCTGGCCGAGAAGGGCAAAACTCCGGCGGCCCAAGCGCTCGCACTGGTTTCAATGCATCCAAGGTATTTCAACGACGACTATGTCCTCCAGAGTCCCAGACGATTTGATATGTAAATACGCATGTACCCAAATAGTGGGGTTGGATATACCCAAATAGTGGGGTTGCAAAAACCCAGGCCCCATGGCAGGCCGCTCTCTCTCTCTCTATATATATATATATATGTGTTTTTATACATATACATATATGTGTATATATATATATGTATATGCCCTAAATCATATTGAGGATCCCTATAGAATATGAGGTGCGTGGCTTAATAAAGAGGGTATTTGGGCTCTTTGGGTAGTTGAACTGTAAACTTTTGGTCAAGGGGTGAAGGCTCTTACCCCTAAGGTACCTGCCCTGAGGATCTTTCAGAAGGGGTTAGGGTTCAAGGGTTTGGGGTTCAGGGTTTAGGGTTTAGGGTTTGGGAGTACAACCTTAGGGATCCGAGATAGAACACCATGATTTGGGTTTTCCAAACGAATTATTCTGCTCTTTTTTCTGATTCCTTGGGTATCGGAGAAGTAAACGCCCGCCTCGAAGCCAAGGAGGGGCCTGTCCTTGGGGGGTGTTTTTTGGTTTTTTGGGTGTTTTGGTTTTGGGTGGTTCGGGTTTCTTTTGGGGTGTAGGGGGTTTGTGGGTTAGGTTTTTTGGGGCTTTTGGCGGCTTTAGGGGTTCTGGTTTAGGCTGGACTACCCTGCTACTAAACTGCGAGGCTAGGACGTGAGGCAGAGCGTCCTTGTACACAAGATGCTGAGACCCTACGCCTTGAAGCTTTACCCTAAGCCGGGAACCCTTGCATGACCAATTCTTGAAATGATGGTCCACTCACATTCTTGGGGCACGCTAAGTCTGGTTTAAGGGCTTGTTTTTACAAGTAGGTGCCGCATGAGGGTTACAGAGCCTGCCACATCTGAATCCCTCGGTCAAGAGTTGTGGTTTGTCGTGAAAGCCTGAGGCCCCGAACCTTACAGCCCAGAACCCTAAACCCAGGACCAAACCCTAAATCCTAAACCCCTAAACCCCTAAACCCTTAAAACACCTAAACCCCTAACCCCTAAACCCTAAACCCTAAACCCTAAACCCTAAACCCTAAACCCTAAACCCTAAACCCTAAACCCTAAACCCTAAACCCTAAACCCTAAACCCTAAACCCTAAACCCTAAACCCTAAACCCTAAACCTAAACCCTAAACCCAAAACCCCCTAAACCCTAAACCCTAAACCCTAAACCCTAAACCCTAAACCCTAAACCCTAAACCCTAAACCCTAAACCCTAAACCCTAAACCCTAAACCCTAACCCTAAACCCTAAACCCAGGCCTACTTTTGGGGGCCTTCGCCCGGCTCCCGCGCCTGCCGCCGGTTCGCCTCCAGGAGTCGGTTTGGGGGTAGGGTTTAGGGTTTGGGGTTTAGGGTTTAGGGTTTAGGGTTTAGGGTTAGGGCTTAGGGTTTAGGGTTAGGGTTTAGGGTTTAGGGTTTAGGGTTTAGGGTTTAGGGTTTAGGGTTTAGGGTTTAGGGTTTAGGGTTTAGGTTTTATGGTTTTGGGTTTAGGGTTTAGGGTTTAGGGTTTAGGGTTTAGGGTTTAGGGTTTAGGGTTTAGGGTTTAGGGTTTAGGGTTTAGGGTTTAGGGTTTAGGGTTTAGGGTTTAGGGTTTAGGGTTTAGGGTTTAGGGGTAGGGTTTAGGGTTTGGGGTTTGGGGTTTGGGGTCTAGGGTCTAGGGTCTAGGGTTTAGGCTGTTGTTTTTTTGAGGAGGTGTTCTGTTTTGTTGCTGTATATCGAGAAATCTAGAAATCGATATCAATATACGTATAAGTGCCTATATGTATATATATATATATATAGAAGGTAGATATAAATAAACAATACATACATATATATATATATAATATGTGCATCTATGGATTTACACACATTTCTTTGTTTTTTTTGGGGGGAGGGGAGCGTGGCGGACGTGGCTGTCTTCTTTCCGAGCCTTTGTTGCGTTTAACGCTGCTAAGGATTTTTTCTTTTGGGAGGGGGGGGGAAGGTGACACTGCTACAAAGCTCTTTCCGGCAGAAGAAAATTCTAAGCCCTAAGCCCTAAACCCGAAAGACTCTAAACCCTGAAACTTTAGGCTGCGGCTTCTTCTTCCCTGGGGGAAGATAAACCCTAAACCCTAAACCCTAAACCCTAAACCCTAAACCCTAAACCCTAAACCCTAAACCCTAAACCCTAAACTGAAAGCAGCTTCTTACGGCTTGAAGGCTTCAGAGGCTGCAGGAGGTTCTTGGGGATGTGGAAGGCTTCAGGTCCAAGGTGCTGGGGGTTTTAGGGGGGTTGGGGTTTGTGGAAAAGAGGTTTGGGGTTTGGGGTTTAGGGTTTAGGGTTTAGGGTACCTTTGTTTGGGAGCTGAGGTTGGGGTTAGTGGTGCGGTCTCGCGGGAGGTTTTGCATCAGTTTGCTTGATGCGACGCCTTTTTGTAGAGGCGGAGCTTTGTATGATTTAGGGTTTAGGGTTTATACGGTTTGCAGGGTGTCAGGGTTTAGAGTCAGAGCCCAGGGGACAAGACAAGTACGTTTATTTCAGCTTGAGGCAGCTATGGCAAGCATGGAGAAGTAAGTACGGTAAGGTTGAACCTTTCAGTGCTTGTTGGGTGGACCGGGGCCTGTCTGAGCCCACCGGAACTGTAGGTTCAACGTGAACCACGAACAACTTCTGTTCATGTTTGGTCTTGAGGCAGGATTTTAGGGGCTAGCTAGGTTTTCGCCAGATCCGCTCAAACCCTAAGCCGTAATTCAGGGTTTAGGGTTCAGGGTTTAATTAGGGTCTAGGGTTAAACCTCAAATCCCAAAACCCTCAGCGCAGACGACCCGCCGAATCAGCCATTAAACGTCCCTGAAGCCCCAAACCTCGGTCGCCCAGTGGTACCCTTTTCCCTTCTTTGGTTCGCGACTCTAAACCCTAAACCCTAAACCCCAAGCCCTAAACCCTAAACCCTAAACCCCAAACCCTAAACACGGCTCAAGGAGGCCGCGCGGAGGAGCGCCGAAGCCAAGGCAGGAGCTCGACCACGGCTTCTATACGATGCGGGTTTTGGGGTCCAGCTTTGGGGTTTAGGGTTTAGGGTTTCGGGTTGAGGGTTTAGGGTTTAGGGTTTTTGTTTTAGGGTTTAGGGTTTAGGGTTTAAGCCCTAAACCCAAAACCCAAAACCCTAAACCCTAAAACTCTGACGAGGTCAGCCGAGATGCGTACGGGCACCTGGCACTGCCAAACTGCGTTGGGCTGCTAAGCCCCTGACTCAATCCTTCAGGTTTTGTTCAGGGTTTAGGGTTTAGGGTTTAGGGTTTAGGGTTTAGGGTTTAGAGTCAGGGTTTAGGGTTGTGTGGGGTTGAGGTTCAAGGCTGAAATGAACTTGCCAACTAGAAAGATGGGCCCTGTTGCTCAAGGACTGTGTGATGTTGAAATGGCTTACCTGTAGGTAGGGTTTAGGGTTTAGGGTTTGGGGTTTGGGGTTTTGGGGTTTTGGGGTTTAGGGTTGAGGGTTGAGGGTTCAGGGTTTAGGGTTCAGAGTTGAGGGTTGAGGGTTGACGGGTTTAGGGCTTCAGAAGTAGTAGGCTCCCGCCGAGGCGTTAGTCACCGTTGGGGTTTGTTGGGGCGTGCGCAGAATCATGTTGTTTAGGGTTTAGGGTTTAGGGTTTAGGGTTTTGGGTTTTGGGGGGTGGGGCGGGGGGAAGGGCGTCTGAGACAAGAAGGCCCGGCTGAGAACCTGTCGGTGAGGGTTTGTTTGTGTGTGTGTGTTACAGGGAAAGCTGAAGGTTTGACGGTCTAATGTTTTGAGGCGTAGTTTTTGTGGGGCTTACGGATCTTGGGCAGTGGGTCTTTGGGGCTTTCGGCTTATTTCGGGTTTGCTCGCGGTTCTTATGCTAGGCATTCCCGGGTGAGAGAAGGCACATAATTCGGCAGCGGTGTGCGCTCCTTTCATATGTTTGGGCGGAGGGCTTTGGCGGTTTCGGATTTCTTGGGTTTGTTGTGTGTTTGAGGGCTACCAGAGATCAGGGGTTCATTGGTTCAGGGCCCTAAACCCTAACCCTAAAACCTAAAACCGAAACTAAACCCTAAGTTGAGATTTCTGAGCAAAACGAGAGGTGCGCTGGTGCGCTTGGATGCCCGCCGCTCGTCCTCCCTGCGGCCTTGGTTTCGCCTGGCGCCCCAAGGGTTATAGGGTTCTTAAGGGACGGGGTTCATGGGGGTTGGTACCTACGCAACCTCAGGGTTTAGGGTATTTAGGGTATTTAGATGTATTTAGGGTACTTAGGGTACTCAGTGTATTTGGGGTTTAGGGTTTAGGGTTTAGGGTTTAGGGTTTAGGGTTTAGCGAGTTTTAGGGAACAGTGGGGAGGATTAAGGAACCTTGGGTTACATACCCCCTTTGATACCCCCTCCCTTAAGAACCCTATAGAAGGGCTACAAATCCATGGCTTGGGTTGCCGGAAGGATTCCGGGTTTAGGGTTTAGGGTTTAGGGTTTAGGGTTTAGGGTTTAGGGTTTAGGGTTTAGGGTTTCAAGCCCTATAAGCCCGCTAAACCCTAGAAGGTTCAGGGTTGGGCTGAGCATTCGGCGCCCATGTTTCGCAGACTTCCCGTCCCACGCGCTGGTTCCCTAGGTGTTAATGTGGTCCCTTACCCTCTGTAAAGGCTTCTGATATATGGGCCCATGGGTTGTATGGGGTGGGCTGAACCCTAGACCCTATACCCAAGAATCAAGACTCAGAAGCCTTGCCCTTATGGTTTAGGGTTTAGGGCCCAGGGAGAGTCTAGGGTTTGTGGTTGAGGGTTGAGGGCTGAGGGTTTTACAGCCGCACACAATTTGTTGAAGCCTTGAAGCCTTGTCAGGTTTGAAGCAGGAGTTTAGGGGTCAGGGAGGCTTTCAAGACTTTGGGCTCCCAAGTGATCTTGAAGGGATTCTCATGGAACTGCCTAAACTCTCAACCCCTAAACCCTAAAACCCGACTTGTTCACCCCCGCAGTCCCCTGTAGGGTCCACTTAGCACCGCTCAAAGACAAGGTGCGCCAGCACAGGCCCCCTTAAAGGCCCAAAACTCCTTTGCGCACTTCTCAAAATGCCAGAAGCTTCGACCCTAACCCAGATTTGGAGTGCTTCGGGTTTCGGGTTTGGGCTGATTCAAGTCATATATTCCCTTGCGGCACTCTAGATTGCGAGGAATACAATACTGCTATATACCGGGTACTGCATACTGAGTGGCATACTGTATACTAGACCCAGAAAAGGGCCCAAACTTGAGATCTACAACCCCAAAAGCCCGAGACCCGAGACCCGAAACCCTAGATCCTAAACTCAGCCCGGCTCCTGGGAACATTGGAAGCACTCCTTTCTTCGGGTGTGGCGTGGAATGCCCGGGCCCCTGGGGTGTTGTAGGTTTGGGGGTTCAAGGGAATAAACATACCCTGGGCTCAGGGTTTAGGGGTTTGGTTTTTTGTGGCAGCCCAGTGGTGCTCTTTTCCTTTGTTTTTGGTTCAAGGTTCCATTATCGAGTAGCCAACCCACAGCCCTCCCCTTAGTAGCTGCACGAGTACGCTTTACGCTTTTGGGGATGTTATCATCACCTATAGAACTGAAGGTGTACTTCTTTTTTTTTTTTTGGGGGGGGGGGGACTTCTGCAACCCTAAACCCTAAACCCTATATCCTAAACCCTAAACGCAGCAGCTAAGTAGTTTGGGGGTTTAGGGCTCAGGGTTTCGGATATCCAGGCATCGAAGCGCCCTGGTTCTTGAGATACGAAGGACCTTAGGTGTAGGAAGCGGATAGGGGACTACTACTCGTATAGGGTTTAGGGTCATCTCTGAAGATCACTTCGTCCAGATCCCGCTAGTAAGTTGTGCCCCTCAACCCTAAACCCTAAACCCTAAACCCTAAACCCTAAACCCTAAACCCTAAACCCTAAACCGCAAACCCTGAACCCTGAACCCTGAACCCTGAACCCTGAGCCCTGAGCCCTGAACCCTGAACCCTGAACCCTGAACCCTGAACCTGAGGCCTCAACCCTCAACCCTGAAGCCTGGACCCTGGACCCTGAACCCTGAACCCTGAACCCTGAACCCTGAACCCTGAACCCTGAACCCTGAACCCTGAACCCTGAACCCTGAACCCTGAACCCTGAACCCTGAACCCTAACCCCACTTGATGAAGTCTCCGAGCAACCCAACATCATACTTTTTGTTGTATGTGCAAACCCACTTATGGGTTGTTTTGGATCACCTTTGAAGCATAAATAAACAGGCTTCTTGATAAATGCAGCACCATGCGCCACAACCCCCGTCCCCGACCCAAAACCTTCGCCCTAAGCCCTGAACCCTAAACCCTGCCTCCCCAGCCCACCACCCAGGGCTTTAGGGTTTCGCAGTGGCTCTGCCAAGAGTTGTCTCTCAGACCTCCATCCTCCCCTTATCCCTTCATTTCCTCCATTTAGAAAATGGCAAAAGAAAAAGCTGAGCCATGGCTCCTCCACCCTATCCCTAAACCCTAAACCCTAAACCCTAAACCCTAAACCCTAAACCCTAAACCCTAAACCCTAAACCCTAAACCCTAAACCCTAAACCCTCAACTTGTACCCATGCCCTGGAACCCTAAACCCTCAACCCTAGGGCCGATAAACCCTATGCCTTACACTGTCCTTAAGGGAATGGGTTTAGGATTTAGGGGTTTAGGGTTTAGGGTTTAGGGTTTAGGGTTTAGGGTTTAGGGTGTGCAAGGGGTGGGTGACCCCCAAACCCTCGAATCCTAAAAACCCGAAACCAGCTTCCAAGCTCCAAAAACCTAAACCGCAAAGCCCCGAACCCAAAGCCCTAAAACCCCAGATCCTAAACCCCAAACCCTCAAACCCCCTAAGCTCTGAAGCCTTAAAGCCCTGGATCCTAAACCCTAAGCCCTCAAGCCCCCTAAACCCTAAAGCCCTGAAACCCTAGGTCCTATAAACCCTAAACCCTAAACCCTAAACCCTAAACCCTAAACCCTAAACCCTAAACCCTAAACCCTAAACCCTAAACCCGCCTTCCAGGCGCGGAGTTTGCCTACGGCGCTCAGCTCCCTCTGCAACTGAGCTCTGCACACTTTTGGGGTTTGGGGTTTAGGGTTTAGGGTTTAGGGTTTAGGGTTTAGGGCACACTGTTGAGTTCAGGGTTTGGGGTTCAGGGTTTTGGGTTCAAGGTTTAGGGTTTATAGGGTTTTTAAGGTTCTGGGTTTTGGGTTCAAGGTTTAGGTTTTAATTAGAGGGTTCATGGGGTTCAGGGTTTGGAGTATTCAGTCGCCTGAAAGGCTTAGGCAGGCCCTAAGCCCTAAAGCGGGTTAAGGGTTTAGGGTTCAGGGTTTAGGGATTACCCCCACCGCCCAGGACGCATGTTGAAAAGAAGTTAGGCTTGTGTGCGATCTGGGTGTTTCGGAAGCTGCGGTTTAGGGGTCAGTTTTTAGGGTTTAGAGTGTAGGGTTTAGGGTTTAGGATTCAGGGTTTAGGGTTCGATCCGGGTGTGACTTTCGGGCATAGGCTTTTTGGGGCGCTTTGGGGTACTGCATCCGGTTTTTTTTTGGCTTTAGGGCTTCGGGCTCTGGAGTCACGTAGTCAGCCAAATAGCCTTAATTTATGGGGGGAACCTAGGGAGGGTAGTATGGAGTAGTATGGAGGGGGGATAGTAGGGGAACCCATGTTATAGGGATATCAGGGCATGTTGACATGGATGGCAGATGGGTGACAACATTCCCTAACACGAGCCTAAACCCCAAGCCCTAAACCTTAAGCTTCTGCCGAAGAAAAGCTTGGCTGGCTACCCTGACACCAAGGGACACCCCATCTACGTCGGCAAGAAAGTAGGTTTTAGGGAAACCCGCCACCTTGATGCCGCACGTCAGGGTTTAGGCTTCGGGAGGTTTAGTGTTCGACAAATCTCAGAGAACCCTAAACCCCGAACCCTAAACCCTAAACCCTAAACCCTAAACCCTAAACCCCAAGAGCCCTACAGAGCTGTAGGGTGCATCCTGATCTCCAGACACAGTGGGTCCAGCCTTCGCACCGACATGCTCAAGTAGGCTTTGGAGCTGCGGGTTTAGAACCTAAACCCTAACCCCTAAGCCCCAAGCCCTGAACCCTAAACCCTAAACCCTAAACCCTAAACCCTAAACCCTAAACCCTAAACCCTAAACCCTAAACCCTAAACCCTAAACCCTAAACCCTAAACCCTAAGCCCTAAGCCCTAAGCCCTAAACCCTAAACCCTAAACCCGAAACCCGAAACCTAAACCCTAAGCCCTAAACCTAAACCCTAAATCCTAAGCCTTAAATCCTAAGCCCTAACTCTGTAGTCGAGTTTCGCCCGAGTTGGCGACCCTGAACCCTGAAGAGTGGGGTCCAGAATGATAGCTAGCTGCCTGAAGGTATGATCTCCTGCCGCTGCTGGTCACAGGCTGGAAACCCTACATATCCACAAGCAAGGGTTTAGGGTTTAGGGTTTGCGGTTTACGGTTTAGGGTTTAGGGTTAGGGTTTGGGGCTGAGGGGGTTCGGGTTTGGGGTTCAGGGGGTTCGGGTTTAGGGTTCACATGTCTTTGGGACCACAAGTACCCAAGGGTCGGGCGTGAAATTCGGCCTTTTCTGAGGAGGAATCGCACCTCCCAGGGTGTGGGTCGAAGCCCGGCAGCCCGCTACGTGTTTAGCATGTCGTTATAGGGTCGGCTGCTTCTCAGGCCCTGTAAGACTCAAGGCTCTACCACCCCAAGTTCCCCAAACCCCTTTTAGGCATTCCCCAAAATTGTGGGGAGGCCCCCCCCCCTATATTATATATATATATATATATCTATATATATATATATTTTTTAAATTAGATAAATATGTGTGTATATATATATAGATATATTCTTTTTACACCCACCAAAAGACCATAATCCTTGTTGCAGGAAACCCCCCAAGAGGGTAATTATTGCTCGACACAACCTCTCGCAGGAGTCTGGTGGTTAAATCTACAGCCTATAACGCCTAAACACCCTAGACACTAACCCCCAAACCCAAAATCCCGTAAGAAGCCGGGTTTCTTTAGGACCTGGGGAGTTCAGGGTTTAAAAGGGCTCAGGTTTAGGGTTTAGAGATACGGAATCCTTAGCCAAAGCCAAGCAGGTCCGCGGTTGTGATGGCAGTTGTTAACCCTGAGTGCCGCAGCTTCTGGGATCTCGGGCTCAGGGAATGTAGGGTTTAGGGTTTAGAGTTTAGGGTTTAGGGTTTAGGGTTTAGGGTTTTTAGGATCTGGACGCCATGGAGCTTCCGTCAGCACCCCCCCAGCGCATGGAGACCGAGCCAGTGCGTGTGCGCATGGAGAACGAGCCAGTGTTCGCGCCTCACGAGGTTCCGCCACCGATGCCATCTCTGCCTACTATGCCCACTGCATCGTGCCTTGGCTAACTTTGCCGTGTTGCTTGCACGAGCCTGGCTGCCTGGCAACTCTCGCCCCATCCATAGTGCCCATAACGCTCGGAAACCTTCTGGACGCATGAACTGATCAGACAGGCAGCTGCTATTCCTTAAGCCCTATGATTACACTTCAATCTGCGAAGGAACATGGAGCTCAACCGGTGCAACAGAGGCGACATTGAAACCGGCAATGCGGAGTCCGTTGGGTCCATGTTCGGCGTGGTGCCAACTGGGCAGAGGGAGACTTCTCCTGGCACAGTTGCGTCTTGGGCCGGCCAAGGGAGTCATGTGTTCCAAGCCCGCAAAACCCTAAAAGCCCCAAACCCTAAACCCAAAAAAACCCAAACGGCCCTGTATTCATGGAGCGGGCAACCCGCCCTTCGCCTCCCCCCTCAACACAAAATCATAGAAACAAATACATATGTATGATATGTCTATATATATATATGTGTCTACTTATATGTCTATATATATATATATATGTATGTATATTTCGTTTGAACATCCCAATAGGGTTTAGGGTTCAGTGGCCCAGGAACCCTAAGCCGGCAGTGGCTCCAAGGGTAGTTTCTTGGGCCCTTAGCATGGGCCCTTACCCTCTTTAACAGCTTCTGGTGTCTGGGCCCTTGGGTTTAGGGTTTAGGGTTTAGGGTTTAGGGTTTGGGGTTTAGGGTTTAAGGTTTAGGGTTTAGGGTTTAAGGTTCAGGGTTTAGGGTTTAGGGGTAAGCGTTTAAGGGCCCATACCAGGGGACCATGAAACTACCCTCAGTGCAGAGGTGGAAGGAGGAGGAGGAGGAGGTGGATATGAAATGCCAGCAGGGGACCTCTCGCCTCGATCCAGCATCCTTCTTCCGGTGGGCCAGGGCCAAAACCCTGAACCCTAGACCCTAGACCCTAGACCCTAGACCCGAAGTTGAGGGCTCAAAGCCAGCATCTCTCCCAGAAATCCCCAAAGGACCTTACAATACAAACCATCCTCCGAAGTCAACAGGCGCTTAGATTACAGTCCTTGAGTTTGACATGATCTCCGAAACCGAACCCTAACCTAACCCCCAAAAACCCTCAGAATCCCAAATCTTAAGCCTTAACGCCCTAGAACCCCTTGCCCTAAACCCTTGAAACCATGAGCCCTTGAGACCTTGATTCCTACGACCCTATCGCCACCCCGTGAACCCGCTGCCCTGAATCAGGTTCGACGATGCAGCTCCATGGACCAGATGCGGGCAGCAAGTGACGCCATGCAGGTTAGAGACGGCACAGGGTGCATGTGTTAGGGGCTGACTGGGTGGTAGCTTTATCTCGTATCGCCTGGTAGAAATACGCACCGGGGAGCGTCCACATTGGGGAGTTACACTTTAGGTAGCTACATCGAGTCTTTGAAAGGCTAATGGTTTTTCATTGGTGGACAGCGTCCACACTGGGGAATCACGCTTCACATGCAACATTCAAAGTTGACATTTTCCAGCGGTCTGCAGTGCAGGGCAACATTTAGGAAGTCGACCGAAGCTGCGTCTCATTGGGGCGAAGCATCTCCCGCAGCGATGAAAGTTACCATGCAAACCAGCACAGCTTCCTGCGGCAATGCATGGGTTTGTTGATGGTTTCGCTGTGTGAGGGTCAATTTTCAGAGCTTTGCTGCAGAGTTGAAGAAAACAGTGCCAGTCGCACTAGGCTGCGCGGCAGTTTGGCACAATAGGTTTTAGCGGCATGCTCTCGTCTATCCGGATCGCGGCGCCGTTGGCTACGATACCCTTGTCGGGTTTGGGGGCTCAAGATCGCTTGGGGGATTTAGCTCCGGATGAAGAACGGGTTTTGAGACTTGGGGGTCGGGAGGTCCCTCCGCCCCACCCCCTCCTCCTTCCTCTTCCTCTCCCCCCCCCCCCCCCCTTTTCCCCATGTCACGGGTAAGGAGCCTTATTTCAAGCCCTTCTAGAATCCAGCCTGCTAAGCCCAAGGATCAGGCGCTTCTTTTCCGGGCGGCGAATCTTTTTGCCTTGTCGGAGGCCTATGCATTTCAGCTTTATGCGGGTTGAGCAGGGCTCGTAATTCCGATTGGGTTTACGGTGCTTTTCTTCCGGGTGCTTAACTCAGGGGTTTAGAGTGTTTCGTGGGTTCTGGGTTTGCGGGAGCATTGCGGTGTGAGATGCGTAGTTTGGACTTGGGGGGTTTTGGAGACTGGCAGGTTGGAGCGACTTCAGGAATACTCACGGAAGCCCAATGCTGACACCCTAGGGAGAGCTTGGCCCTACACCCAAGCGAAGCGGAACCCGTGTGCTTTTCTTGTTGTGGGTGTCTTTTTGCTGTGGGTGCTTTTTTCCGGGGGCCGCCCCGGTGAGTGAGTGACCTGGCGCGTGTCGTGCCCGCACCTGCGGCAAAAAAAAAACGCGCCCCCGCACCCGCAGCAAAAAAAAAACGCGCCCCCCGCCCCACCCTCCCCCCCCCCAACACCCCCCCTCTTTTAAACTGTGCAAGCGTTTTCAAAGTATTGAATCCTTCCCAAGCCCATCATGCGAGCATTGTGTTTGCAAACGGCGGAGGGAGGGCTTCGCCCCGCCCCCCCCCCCCCGCTTTTTTTTAAACTGTGCCAGCATATGAATCCTGTCCAAGCCTATCATGCGCGAGCCTTTGGTTTGCCAAGGGGGGGGGGGGGGGGGCCAACCCCCCCGCTTCTTAAAGCCATGCCGGCTTGCTTCAAAGCATATATGAATCCTTTCCGAACCCATCATGTGAGCATCCACCCGCTTGAAAGGGGGGGGGGGGCTGCGCTGTTTTTGGCCGGGCAAACTTGCTTCAATCATACGAATCCCGTCCAAACCCATGATGATGCGAGCATAAATGGGGGGGGGGGGGGTGCGCCCCCCCACAACCCGCCCGCTTTTTGTAGCCGGGCAAGCCTGCTTCAAAGCATGCGAATCCCTTCCAAACGCAGCTTGCGAGCATTGTGTTATAAAATATAGAGAAATTAGAGGGTTCCTATGACAACATAGAGGAAATAGTATAGCGAAAATAAAAAATAGAAGCCTTGATCGTCAAACATAGAGAATTTCCTATTTCCATAGCAAGAAAAGAGAGGTTTTCACATCAGAAAAGAGAGGTTTTGATGTTTTGATGTGCAATTTTGAGAAAATGGAGGTTTTCCTGTGAAGATACAGAGAAAAATGGTTTTCCTTTTAAAATACGACAAGAGGAACAAGCACTTTTTTTTTGCAAGTCGCATGTTGAGATAACACAGAGAATTTGTTTCTCATGTATTCCTCTTAAATATAGAGGAAAACTATGACAATATAGACAAAGGAGAGAGAAGTAGAGGTATTCGTTATAAGATAAGGTTTACATATAAATGTAGAGAAAATAGAGGTTTTCATATTCAAATGTAGAGAGAAAGAGGTTTTCCAATTAAATTACAGAGAAAAGAGAGGTTTTCATATGAAAATATAGAGAAAACAGCAACAACACGCCCCCGCACCCGCAGCAAAAAACAAAACGCGCCCCCACCGCACCCGCAGCAAACAAAAATGAACGTGCCCCCACCGCACCCGCAGCAACAAAAAGCGCGCCCCCGCAACGTGCCCCGCACCCGCGGCAAAAAAAATGGCGCCCCACACCCGCAACAAAAAAACACCTGCAAGCAAAAAACACTCTTACCCCAAGCGAAGCGCGCCAACATGTCACCCACCCCCACTATTCGCCTTGATCCCCACCAAAAGCCTTCAGACACTCTAGATAACTTGATCTGCAAACCCTAAACCCGCCCTAAACCCAAAAACCCTCCAACCCCACGAAGCTCCAAAACCCGAAAGCCCAAGAATCCTAACACCCTGCAACCCTGCAGCCGAACCCACCCTAAACCCCCTAAACCCCCTAAACCCCCTAAACCCCCTAAACCCCCTAAACCCCCTAAACCCCCTAAACCCCCTAAACCCCCTAAACCCCCTAAACCCTGTAAACCCTCTAAACCCTAAACCCTAAACCCGAAACCCTAAACCCTAAACGTCTGCAGAGGACTCTTTTGTCGATGCGCGGGGGCCTTGGAGAGCCACGGACTCCTTCATAGCGCTTTGGCGCCTGGTCGGCACTTGTGTCTATAGCGCTCGGGGTTTAGGGTTTAGGGTTTAGGGTTTAGGGTTTAGGGTTTAGGGTTTAGGGTTTAGGGTTTAGGGTTTAGGGTTTAGGGTTTAGGTTTGCTCAGGGTTTAGGGTTGAGGTTTGCTCAGGGTCTAGGGTTGAGATATACATATACTATACATGCATATGGACATTTATCAAAACAGGGGTACCCTTTTGATGGACCCCAATGTGGTCTAATCCCCCTGTAAGCACCGGCTAGTCAGGTACAAATTGAATGCAGACTCGATTTCGTGTGGCATCTCAGAAACCGTCCTGGCACCAAATAGTCAAACCCTAAACCCGAAACCCTAAACGTGTAAGGTTAAGTGGCTTAGCCCTGACACCTCAAGCACCGAAGACTTACCCTAAACCCTATACCCTATACCCTAACCCTAAACCCTAAACCCTAAACCCTAACCGTTCGCCATGTTCCCAGGGGCGCCTGTCTCTACTTCCTCATAGGCCTCGCGCCCAGTGGTTGGTCCAAGATCAGTCAGAGGGCCGTGCTTGCCGTTGCGATTCTGACGACTGCGACTGGGCTTAACTCGGTATTTCGCATGCCGGCCTTAATTTTGTAGGGAATCAAATAGAACTAGGAACCTTATGTCCCCCAGAATACCATTTGGTTTTGGGAAGGTGGACAAACTGCATGATTTCCCGTATTGGGCTTTGGGCGAGCTGCGTTCTTCAGTGGTTGGGGTGTACAGCCCTAAGACCTAAACCCCCGGGGCAGTACCTAAACCCTGAACCCAAAGCCCTACCCTAAACCCTAAACCCTAAACCCTAAACCCTAAACCCTAAACCCTAAACCCTAAACCCTAAACCCTAAACCCTAAACCCTAAACCCCAAACCCTAAGCCCCTTTAGCAACTCCGCCTCGAGCCTGCGACCCTTTAAGCCCGGAGCCTTAAACCCGCAAGCCCTGCACCCTCCAAGGCAGGGACGTGGGCCATCGGCTTCTACTGGACCCGGGCAAGTGAAGGGAGGCAGCAGTGGATTCACGTCGTGGGCCTCATGGAGTGCACGTGCCCTGACTACTTAAAGCTTCCTTTGGAGTCGCTCTGTCCGCTTGTTCCAAGGGGAGTATTGTTGATTTTCCCGTTGATCTGGTTGCGAAAGATGGTCAATTCGTGCCTGTTCAGGCTTCCTACAAGCCCTGAGGTCCTTCTTGGCACTTCTGGTCGGGGTTAGCCGCAGCAGGGGGTTCCGTGAGCTGCTTCTGGAGAGACTACCCGAGGTGCTCACGGGGGCTCCTTGTTATTTTTGGTGAAAGGGGGGGGGGGTTTAGGGTTCAGGGTTTAGGGTTTAGGGTTTAGGGTTTAGGGTTTAGTGTTTAGGGTTTAGGGTTTAGGGTTTAGGGTTTAGGGGGATGTTTTTCCCAAGAAATCTCGTTCAGGGTACCAAGCGGGATGGCTGCGAGGATTCTTGGCGGTGGTTTTCTGGACTGTACAGGACGGGAGGCCGCTATACGGACGCCCTGGGGGGTGCTTGAGGGGTTTGAGGTTTAGGGTTTAGGGTTTAGGGTTTATAGGGTTTATAGGGTTTAGGGCATGAGACTGAGCAACATGCTCTCCTGAGCTCGCGTTTAAGTGTTGGGGCCACAATCATCGCGCCAGCGGCAGCAGCGTCTTCATCTCATCTGGAGGGTGTTCATGAAACAACAGGACGGAATATGGGTCCTTTTTCTTGTGGAAAATAAGCCGAACGTGTCTGTGGCAGAAACTGCGGACGTTCGGCTTGCTCCTATTGCGGTTGGCTTGTTCCCTGCTCGACCTTGTTGGGGGGGCGCGGGAGGGGGAGGGAGTGAGGGGGGAGGGAGTGAAGGAGTGAGGGAGGGAGTGAAGGATGGAGTGAAGGGAGGGAGGGTCTGCACTGCGCCCCGCTGCGGGTCGCTACCAGACCGCGCGGGTGCGACCGGTCAGTCGCTCGGACCTTCGTGGTCAGCAAAGCCCCGCAGCGGGCCGTGTCCAGGCCGCGCGGGAGCGGTCACCTACCACTACTTCACACCGACCCCTCGGAGCGGGTCGTGTCCAGGCCGCCCGAGGGTGAGTCTGGCTTTCCTCGCCCATCGGAGGCCCAGCGAATCCGCGGGCCCCTGTGCCGCGATGGGTGGCGGAAAGAAAGGAGAGAAAGGGAAGAAAGGCGGCCCGGATATGGGCGCCGTGGAGGACTTGCAGCGGACGCTGGTCCGCTGCATGCGCCACGGAAGCCACGGGTGCGTGGGCCGGTTCGCACCCGGGGGCCTCTTCGCGGCTGACGGCGCCCGCGTGTCGAGGAGCTCAGAGCTTGCGCTTGACTCCTCGGCAGCGGCAGGCTGCTCGCGCTCTGCTTCTTCCTCCGCCTCTGAATCCTGCTGATCCAGGGCGTTGGGCTTAGGGAGGTTCCTGCGCGGGTAGACGAGCGGTCGCCCCGCCCCATCCTTAGGCTTCTGTCGGCTCCCCACGGCCGTGGCATGGCCCGCAGGGGCCTCTGCCTTCGCCTTGGGGACCGGCGTGTCGCTGGAGCTCGCTGCGGCCGGCTGGCCCGCAGGGCTATTCTTAAGGCGCATCAGCCGAACTAGCCGGTCGCGGCTCACATTGAGCTCCGCGACCTTGAGGCTATACTGGCCTGACCCTTGCGGAAGAGCCCATATACGGGAGATGCCGGTTGGCCTGATCTGACCGGTCAGGCCTACGCCATCGGCTCCGCAGTAAATCGACACGCCGGCGTCCCGAATGACCGCCAGTTCAACTTCCACCACAGCGGTGGACCCGCGTCTGAAACCGCGACGGCCATCCTCCCACTGCCGGGGGCACGGGCCAAGGACGTAATGCACCGCGAGGCGGCCTCCCGGCCCGCCACCGGGCACTAGGCCATCCTGGAGGATGCCTTCCCAGCAGTGGACATCCGTGCCATGCCACATACTTGGCCCGTGAGTGGCGATCAAGCCACTCACCGCGGCCTCCGACAACCCCTGGTTCACATAGGCAATGGGGTGCCCGGAATCTTCGCTGTGCCCTTGGTAGGCTCTGAGCCATCCCTCGGCCACCCGGCTCTGATCGAGCCGCGGCTTTCTCTGGCGCCCGTCAAACGCCAGGGCCGCCTCGAACATGCTGTAGGGAGTAAGGGCTTAGGGTTGAGGATGTAGGGCCCAGAAGGCCCTATGCTGCAGGGTCAACTTCAAGTCGCTGGTTCCCCCGTTACCAGACCCCGAGCTCCACTGAGCCCCTCAACCCTTTCGGGGACTCACGGATAAACTATATCCCCCTTGGGAATCATTTTTTTAAATTTTTGTTTATACAAAACCCAAGAGGATATTAGAAAATCTTATTTTTATTAAGGCTCTAAGGGGAGTCTAGTTACAAGGTACATGAGCCCCTAACCCCAAAACCCTGAGCACTGAACCCTAAATCCCCTCCATTCCTTTCCCTGAAGGCGCAGCAGATCCTTCTCGACTCGGGCACGCACTACTCCGCGGCGTGGGACATTTGGTAGCCCAGTGGTCCCCTTTTCCCGTTTTTTTTTTTTTGGGGGGGGGGGGGTTTAGGGTTTAGGGTTTAGGGTTTAGGGTTTAGGGTTTAGGGTTTAAGGGTTTAGGGTTTAGGGTTTAGGGTTTAGGGTTTAGGGTTTAGGGTTTAGGGTTTAGGGTTTAGGGTTTAGGGTTTAGGGTTTAGGGTTTAGGGTTTAGGGTTAGGGTACCCTATTAGGGCACTTAAGGGGCTTATACGCGGGTTACAAGTACAGTCATCAATGGTTAATAAGTGCCATGAACCTCCAAGAGGACATCTGGCCCATCTTCGGATCGTGCGCCACGTGGCTGCTCTGCCTCGTTGCAGAAACCCAGCTGCGACAGGCGACCTGGCCGACCCCAAGTCGAAAGCAAAAGAGATGAATACCCTCAATCCCCCCCTTCAAGCCGACAAACCCTGGACGGTCGCAAGAGTCACTAATGTGTTTTCCCTTTTGGTTCCTTTCTGATTTTTGTAGATAAACCCCCAAAATCTATTGAGGCCCCTATACTAGACCCGTGGAGTCCTAAGGCGGACGAAGGCACTATAGTTCTGCCTCCAATGCAGCCGTTCTTACTGTCCGCCGCGTGGGCATATGCACTGCTCCGGTTCAACAGCTTCCTCGTGCTCTTGGTGGAGCGGGTCAGGGATTAGGAGCTTTTTGCCTGGCGTTTGACCTTAAACCCTAAACCCTAAACCCCAAACCCCAAACCCCAAACCCGATGTTCGGAGATACCGTTTCAAGTCTAGGGCTGATAAAGGAGGGAAGACCCCAGGGTGCACCCCCCAGATCTTAAACCCCAAGGTCCAAACACTTTGTTGAGGTTGCGGGTTCCTGTATAGCCTCTTAGGTTTTCTTCTTTGAATATGTATTTATTTCAGGGGCTGCGCCCATGGTGCAAACCGAAGGGAGGGGGGGGGGGCGGGGGGGCGCGCGTGCCCCGGCCCGGCGCGCGAGTTTGCACGACCGGGTCAGCTGTAGGCTTTCATAGGAGGACGATGAATTACTCGGGGAAAGGACAGAACCACCTGTGAGGTATAGCGGGTAGACAGATCGCATGGCGATGAGCGCAAACGAGAATGGGTCTTCACTAAATGCGGACCCGCTCGGGGGTCGGCAGATATCGTTAGGGTTTCGGGTTTAGGGTTTAGGGTTTCGGGTTTAGGGTTTAGGGTTTTGGGTTTAGGGTTTAGGGTTTGGGGTTTAGGGTTTAGGGTTTAGGGTTTAGGGTTTAAACATTTTGAAGAGAACATGAAAGTTCTAAGTGGTAGATGCGAAACCCTGCACGCTGGACCATAACTTGCCTTCCTGGGCTTCCCGCCCACGGGAGTTTGTCTGGGGTTAGGGTTCAGGGTTCAGGGTTCAGGGTTCAGGGTTTAGGGTTTAGGGTTTAGGGTTTAGGGTTTAGGGTTTAGGGTTTAGGGTTTAGGGTTTAGGGTTTAGGGTTTAGGGTTCAGGGTTCAGGGTTCAGGGTTCAGGGTTTAGGGTTAGGGTTTCGGGTTTAGGGTTTAGGGTTTAGGGTAACCCGAAACCCGAAACCCTAAACCCGATCGCTAAGCCTCAAGGATGTTCGTTTAGCATTCATTTCAGTGGGAGGGCACCATACTCAACGACCCTTGCGCCCATCACGTCACCCCAACTCGTCAGGGCTTCGGGCTTGGGATCTAAAAAGTTGGGGCCCTAAACCCTAAACCCCCAACCCTAAACCCTAAACCCTAAACCCTATGGTCAGCTGAAGGCAGTGGTGTGAAGACAAGAAGCAGCCGAATGAAGCGCGCCCAATCCTATTGCCGAAAACCAAATACCCCAAAGGTCCATGTACCTGTATACTTGTAGCCTTACTTGGGTCTAAAGCTACTAAATGGAAACCCCCTTTAAAATGGCTCAAGTATGTGCGATACTACCGAAATTCTAGGGTTTTTGTTAACGCAAAGCAATGGGGCAAAAGGGCTTGCTCATCCATCTTGTCACCGGTTTTTCTTCTGCGTTTGCTTTGGGGGTTTAAAGTCACGGAAAGAAGCTTGCATTGAACTCACGAAAGGGACGGTTGACGTTTCCAGCGTGTTTGATCTGGGCTGCTATATTTAGGCCTTCGGTTTAAGATACCTAAGCCCTAAACCCTAAACCCTAAACCTTAAACCCTAAACCCTAAACCCTAAACCCTAAACCCTAAACCCTAAACCTTAAATCCTAAACCCCAACCCCTCCGCCCTTTGGAAGAAATTTCAGGGTGTCTGAAGGGGCCAACCTAGTTTGGCTCGGGGGATGCATGATCCACACCCTGAAGACCAAGCCTTCAAAAAAAGCATGGTTCGCGCTTAGGGTTTAGGGGTTTTAAACCTAAACCCTAAACCCTAAACCCTAAACCCTAAACCCTTAACCCTTAACCCTTAACCCTTAACCCTTAACCCTTAACCCTTAAACCCTAATCCAACGTGTTGGGCTTGTGGGTGCAGGAGCGCTTCGCACAGACAACCTCCCGCCATCTGGAGGATGTGGATCTCGCCTACGAGCCTCGGCCCATAGCATGGTTAGGAATTCATCTAGGAACGTGTTTAATGAAGGTTAGGGTTAATGCAGTTAGTAGGGTGAAGAGGGCAGAGATGGGTTAGAGGCTTTCGGGGGGTTTTCAGGGTTTTCGGAAGAGTTGATGTAAGCCACATGATATCATTAATAAGACTATTCTCAAATAAATTAGGTTCAAAATTAACTAAACTTAATGATATACAACAATGGTGAATAACTGGTTCTTGTGCATGGCGCGGTGCAGGAGCAGTGGGCGTGCATCGTGGCCTTCGCCTGCCAGGCTTCGCGCTGGTCCGGTTTCTCTGTGGTGCTTTACTGTAACTGTAGATCCTTAGCCTGTTTGGGTTTATAGGGTTTCTTAATAAGGCAGCCAAAAATAGAATTTTTAGCTACCCTGCCAAGTGCAGCCGAGGTTTGGTGTACGTCCACCACCTCACATTCTCGTTCCTACACATGTGCCCAGTTTTGGTAGCACTACTCGATAACCAGGAAAGTAGCAGGGGATGGCTGTTGCCACAGTTCTTTGCCAGCCTCGCATACTGCGGCCTCGCAGTGTGTGTGCTGCAACGAGCAGCGGCGGTGAGTCGGCAGCGCCACCATGCGGTGGCGTGCACAAACAGCTTCTAGGACCCGGAGTACGCCCTTGATTCCTTTTTTTCAGGGCGAGGGTTCCCTTGTAATCCCCTTGAAACCAAAAAGGGTCCCCTTTTCTATTCCTAGGTTCCTCCTGGGCCCAGGCTATCAGTGGGCTTTGGCACCCACCCAGCGCTGGGATCACCACGTCCTTGTGAGCTTCATGGAGCGGAGTGACTTGGGCATTGCTGTCTGTGGTGTTCACCTCACGACATCTCTGTTGCTGAAGTCCACTTCCATTTTTGCCCCTTGGCCGGCACCGTAAGTTCAAAAACCTGCCCTAGTTCTGCAGAATACCTGAACAGGCCAAGGACAGTTTGGGTTTAAAGGGTCCGACTTATGAGCGGCGACAGAACCACAGCTAGAGAAAGGGCAGCCAACGAACGTGCACCTGCGGCAACATTGTGCTGGCGTTGGAGACGTTTAACCATAATGCTGAACAAATGCAATCGTACCGTCAGTACAGAAAACAGTCTCCCTCACACGAAACATAGTCAAGGGTTCGGGCTTGGGTTCAAAAGGGCCTCCCACTGTGTGATGCGTCTCGAAGGCCAACTTCTGGAAGGAGACACGTGAGCCTTTCTACACCCTAGCAGCCTAATCTTTGCCTGTTCAGGGGTTTCGCGTCAAAAGGTCTCCAGAGGTTGAGAGGTCCAAAATCCACGCCAAGGTGACAGCTGCATCTTTCGTTGTGGCCCGGCTCATGAGTCTGCCAGATGTTCAGAAGGCAGAGCTTTCCGAGCAATGGGATCGCTTCATGGATGTGTTCGGGATGTAGATTTAGGGCTCTGGGTATCTAATGTTCGATGGAATGTTGGGTCGGTGGTTGGTGGCGCTAGATCGAAGCGCCAATCGAAGCATCCACGGCTCGAATCGAAGGACCTTCTGCACGCAGAAGTGCCATTTTTAAGGTGAGAATCGCGCTTGCCTTTGTTTGTTGGCTTGTTCTGTGGGATGTCCCAGAGCCTTCTGGAGAAAGCTCGTCTTGGATTGCAAAGCCATGCTCGTAGCAAACTTGAGATAAGAACAGCCCTAAGAAAGGGATCGGAACAATTACAAACAGTATTCCCTTATGGTCCCTTTGTAACCATAATGTAGTTATAATAACCCTCCCCAAACCCTATTTTAATTATTTGGGCCCCTATACTAGTCGCATCAGAAACCCTTCAAGTGCAGAGCCCTAGAATTTTTAAGTCCGGGGCTGGACCCCTACACCCTAAACTCCCAGACCCTACTAAACCCCGATCTTTGTCTGCCGGTCCGGGTTAGGGTTTAGGGTTTAGGGTTTAGGGTTTAGGGTTTAGGGTTTAGGGTTTAGGGTTTAGGGTTTAGGGTTTAGGGTTTAGGGTTTAGGTTTAGGGTTCAGGGTTCAGGGTTTAGGGTTTAGGGTTTAGGGTTAGGGTTTAGGGTTTGTGGTTTTGAAGGGCAGGCGCTCCTCACCAAGTGCAGCAAGCAAGTGCTTTGGTCGACAATCCCCGGCGCGTCGGCATTGGCGTGAATACGCTCTCCGGGATGCTGTTGAGGACTAGGCTTTAGGGTTCAGGGTTTTGGGTTTGGGTTCAGGGTTTAGCATAAGTGACCAGAAGAAGGAAACCACGGGTACTCACCATGAAGCCTCACTACTTGTTGCTTAGTTTACAACACCAACCCCATTGTTGAGGTCAGCGCCCACAGACTTCATATAAGAGCAGTCTGTGGTTACTCTGGCCGGACCTCGCACACGGTTGCTGGCCAGACCTTGTCTCAGGTGCAGGTTTGGCCTTGCACGCAATATATTCTATTTAGCATCCAAACCCTGGCGGATCAGATGCAAAGCACCATTGCTCGGCCTCATGTTGATATCAGAAGTTTCTCGTAATATAGATCGACTCAGGCAGCCCCAGATCGACTATTCCCAGGCCTCCTATGCGAGGGAAGTGGTGCCCGGTGTCACACAGTGCAAGCCGGCCTCTGAGTTGGCCCGGCTTCTCTCATGTGCTGAAAGTACAAGAGAAACGTCAGCAAAATGCTGTCGCCCGCCCCCCCCCCCCTCCTTCCGGGCCACGTTTAGGCTTACAAGGGCTCGGGTTCTAGGGATACAGCTGCGCCGCTTATGCAGGGTGGGGCTGGGTGGGGAGGGCTCGCCTGGACATTCCAGGCGACACGCTGCGATGCAGACGGTGCTCCTTGGAAGGGTTCGCAATTCGTTGTCCGACCCTTTCCTCGGGAATGGCACATTGGTTTAGACATTTAACATGTGCTTCGGACACTTCAGGCCCGTGGAACACGGCTTGCTGTTGCCGTCAAGCATCAAGATGGAGCTGCCCCTAAGCCCTGAACCCGAACCACACCCTGAACGCTCAACTTGACCGCGAGGGCTGCCCAGTCTGCGGCGAGCGCTGGTGGGGTGCCGCTGGGCTGTTCAGCCGCGCAGGGTTGACATCTCTGAGGTCCAGGGTTCAGACACACACAGACACACACAGACACACACACAGACACACACAGACACACACAGACACACACAGACACACACAGACACACGCGCACAGAGACACACGCACAGACACACACACACACACACACAGAGACACACACACAGAGACACACACACACACACACAGAGACACTCACACAGAGACACACACACACACACACAGAGACACACACACACACACACAGAGACACACACACACACACACACACAGAGACACACACAGAGACACACACAGAGACACACACAGAGACACACACAGAGAAGTGTTTGTTACTGTCCCCATTGGGCAATGCTTGTTTCGTGCTTCTGCCAGTAGTTTGTCTTTGATCCCGTTTGCTGAAGCTCTCAGTCTTACTGGTAGCTTCTACATAGCCTGAACACAAATCCCTGATGGAGGTTGCTCTAGATTCTAGATCCGGGACCCCTAAATAAAAAATCCTAAACCCCAAGCACCTAAACACCTAAACCCTCAAACCGACACCCCAAAGCCCTCAAAACCCTAGGTCAGCACCGCACTGTGGCGGCTGGCCGCCGAGTACTTCAGGCACGGAGGTGGGTTGATGGGGCTTCTGGGCCTTTGAGGGTTCAGGGCTTGGGGTTTGTCTTGCTGTTGGTTAGTAGGGAGTGAGGGAATGAGGTACCCTGTATCCCCTTTGTATACCCTTTAAGGGATAATATAGGGTACCTCATTCCCTCATTCTCTACTAACCAACAGTAAGTTGTGATTCAGTCGGGTTTGAAGAGTTTAGAGGGGCTTGCAGGAGTTTGGGGTTCACAATTAGGTGGGGTTAGAGTTAGAGGTCTTGTTGCGTAGTGGGGGCCTCCTGAAAACAGTCAAGCTTGCCGCGAACTTCGGGACCATTGGGTTTAGGGTTTCGGGTTTAGGGTTTAGGGTTTAGGGTTTCGGGTTTAGGGGGTCCAAATTTAAGTCAAGCCTTCGGATGCCGCAAGAACATGTCATGCCTCGCGGCCTTAAAATCAGTTGCCGGGCCTCGCTGTCCCTTGTCACAGCCCCAAACCCTGAACCCCGCAAAGTAATAGATCCTGGGATCCTAGAGAATCCCGAGCCCCAGACAACTCCCCAATATCCACCCTAAACCCTAAACCCTAATTCCTAAACCCTAAACCCTATACCCAGAACCCTAAACCCTAAACCCTACACCCTAAACCCTGAACCCTAAACCCTAGACCCTAAGCCCTTTGTTCTGCTGTCGAGGCTGAATCCCATGCGCCTAGACTCCATCGAAGCGCGGCAGGTCCTGCAGGCCGACCAGGGTTCTAAGGTTTGGGGTTGAGGGTTTAGGGTTTAGGGTTTAGGGTTTACTTAATGAGGAGGGCCCCTGAACCCTAAGCCCACTGGGTTTTGGCTTGCGGAAGGCGTGTTAGGGGAGTTGCTTATGCTGGTTTTGTGGGTTTCAGAGGAAAGAGACGCTGTAGGGTTGTAGGTTTAGGGTTTCAAGGTTTTAGGGTTTAGGGTTTAGGGTTTAGGGTGTAGTGTTTATGGTTTAGGGTTTAGGGTTTAGGGTTTAGGGTTTAGGGTGTCCATCTTACAACTGCTCTGGGTGAAGCAGCTGGGCTGTCCTTCCGGAGCTGATGCGCATTGTTGAGGCTTTTCATCCCGCCTTAAGCCCTATAAACCCCAAGCTCGAAATTCTAGAAAAGAACCTAAACCCATGCTGTACCCTAGACCTTATTTTGAGGCTTTTCATTCCGCCTTCAGCCTTAAACCCTAGCTCCAAACCCTAAACAACGTCCTGGACCCGTTGATGGCTCGGGTTGAGGGTTCCGGGCGTAAGGTTCCGGGCGTGTGTTGATTCTGAACCCTTTCATGCTAGGACCCGGAGTAGGCCCTTGTTCTTTGTTTTAGGGGTTAGGTTCCCTTAAAAGGCTCCTTTAAACCAAAAAGGTTGCCCTTTCTATTCCTAGGTTACTCCTGGGTCCAGCACGGCTTTTGAGCAAATGGGTGTTCAAAGTAGGGTACCCGGAAGATACCGTAATCGTGTTTATAGGGACCCCCCCCCCCCCCCCCGAAAGGGTTGCAGCAGGACTAGAATTCAGAGTTTGACAACCACCGAAGGTTTGGGCCTCGACGCCTTAATTCCTAAAGCCTAAGCCCCTGATCTTCTCAATCCTAAATCCTAAATCCTAAACCCTAAACCCTAAACCCATCGAGTGTGGCCAGGCCTTGTTGCTCCTGCAGCACTTGCGCCTAGCGCCGGACGCGCGCGATAGCAGGCCGGGCAGCCAGTCGTTCGAAGGGGTATGGTTCAGGGTTTAGGGTTCAGGGTTTAGGGTTTGGGTTTAGGGTTTAGGGTTTAGGCTATTGTGGGTTGATTGGTTTAGGGGTGGTTGAGGGTTTAGGAGTTTAGTGTTCAGAGTTTGGGGGCATGCGGGGAGGGTTGGGGTGTCTCCTCTTGTAGTAGCCGTTTCTGGTAGGGTGATATCACAGAGGTGGGAACTGCTCTAACGAGGAACATTCTGTGTTTAGGGTTTTCGGGACAGGCACGTGCAAAAAGTCGCGGCGCTCCTAAGCGTTAAACCCTCTAAATCCTACCCCTAGACCCGAGAAAGCTTGAAGCCGAATTTTAGGGTTTAGGGTTCAGGGTTTAGGGTTTTTTTACACAACAGCCGAATGGAAACCCTAACGCCAAGCCCCCTCTGCCATCTTCACCGAAGCTTGAGGATTTAGGCCCCGAACCTAAGCGGCCTTCAGGGCTTGGGGTTTAGGGTTTAGGGTTTAGGGTTTAGGGTTTAGGGTTGAAGGTTTAGGGTTCTCTGATGTTGTCGACGCTTTGCTTTATGTAGCGGCAGGGCCATGGCAGGGGATGGCGAGCTGCAGCGTGGGCTTCGTAGGGTTTCGCTTTTGCCCCTAGACGCCTGCTGCCCCAAACCCTAAACCCTAAACCCTAAACCCTAAACCCTAATGTTGGACTGGCTTTAGTATAAGGAGGGTCTATGATCACAAGTTTCGAACATTTATTCAGCGAACCGACTTTATTCGGGGTACCGTCTATTATCACAAGGTTTTTTCCGGACGTTTGTTTTAAGGGTTTGTGTTTTGGGTTAAGAGCTTACGCAGCAAGGCTTGAAGCCCTGAGGGCTTGGGCTCCAGGAATCTTAAAGGGCCAGAGCGCGGAGAATCCAGAAATCTAAGCCCGGCCAGTTCCATGTAAAGCCTTATGGAAGTTCATTACGAAACGAGGCCCCAAAACAAATTTTGTGATAGGTAGCCCACGGGCCGGTCAGGCTGTCTTTAGTAAGTTTGTTTGGCTACCCTCTATAATACTAAGTTTTTTTCGGATGAT